CGGGAGTTAGGACACCTGGCTTTTAGTTTTACTCTGACAAGAACTATGGGACTCTAGGAGGTTCCTCCTTAGGACTTTAAGTTCCAGAGTCCCTTCCTAAAACGCACTGAAATTAGCCAAATACCTCTTGAGAAAGGATAGTGTCTGTAGGCTTGTGAATGCTCAGTCTATCTAGTATGGTAGCTGCATTAGTCACTTGAGGGCTTGTTAAACAGAATTTGTCTCAGAATGTGGGAGAATGGTGCCATCTTGTGGACATGAGCAAGTAGGGCCACATCCCACAGACTGCTAATACAAATACATCTCTTTGGTGCACTTTATAGGAAACTATACTTTTCATTAGCTATAACTGTGGAACCATTTGTTACCTAGTGATGTTACCATAAAATTTATTAGACTTGTCTCCTGGTGTCTGGGGAGCGAGTTGTTTGGGTAGACAATCACGTATTGTTCCAGACCACAACATGGCAACAGTGGGTGCTGATTCATGCTCACTTTAAAAACATCAGATGTCTGGGCTGATTTTAATTCTCCCAAAGGAAGAAGAATGAATCAGATTATTTCTCAGGAACTTTATAGTCTTCATGATTCTAATTAGAATTATGCTGTACTGTACACAGAAAATAAGTTAAAATACTATATCTTGAAGAAGGGAAAGAGGACATTGGGACCTTGAGAGGGCACTTCCAGAAATCCCAGTGGAGCACACTGTGTGTCTTGATGGACACAGTGGGATTTACTGCAAAAGTACACGTAGAAGGCCGAAGGCACACTGCCCTTGTAGTCTGTGCTACACCTAGCCGTGTGGAGGCTCTGGACCTGTGGTTGGCAAACCGCGGCTCGAGAGCCACATGCAGCTTTTTGGCCCCTTGTGTGTGGCTCTTCCACAAAATACCACGTGGGGGCGCACACATACAGTGCGATTGAAACTTCGTGGCCCATGCGCAGAAGTCGGTATTTTGTGGAAGAGCCGGTATTTTGTGAAAGAGCCACACTCTAGGGGCCAAAGAGCCGCAGTTTGCCGACCACTGCTCTAGATCAAGTATGTCAAACTCGCAGCCTATGGGCCGCATGACTCATATATTTGGCCCATGTTAGCCTTTGAGTTTGACATGCTTGCTTTACAGTCAGTGATGATAAACCAAACTCTATGAGAGGAACACTAGATAAGAGATGATTTCCTTCCCCAGCTACCCAGCTCTATAGTGTAAGTTATCAAACCTTTTGGATATTTTGTAAGTGCTTTGAAAGAGAATAAGGGCATTTAATTATTAGCTTGAGGCTGCAGTATGATTTCATTGCCAGTCACACTAACCCTGCAGCCAGATGAAGATTTTTATTCTGATGGAGTCCTCAGTGACATAGCCTTGGTGCTGAGACTTATGCTAGAAAACTATAGGGTATCTGAAAGGATGTTCATTCCACACTGGGGGGAAAGTCAGATGAGAGGACACTTTAACACTCTGAAATATCTAGTAGGTCCTGTTGGGAAATATTCTTACAAACATTCTGGTGAAAGGAGTTTATGGAGACCATACTCATACAATGGAACTCAGCATCTGAAACGCCGTGAATTTTATACACCAAAGCCTGTGAGCTCAGTAGTGGGAGTGCTGCCCATACCTCTGGTGTCATTCAGACCTCCCCCTTTACCTAATTCAGCCATTTTTCATTGTTCATGCAAAACCTGTTCCAAAAAGACAACCATCCCACTATATCAGGTCTGCCTGCTTTTCCCTCACTGATACCTCGAATCCGTGACCCCACCACTGAATATATTTCAGTCTCTGCTCCTTTTCCCTTCTCTATATTCTTCCCTGTGCCCCCAATATCAGACATCCTAATGACTGGAGTAGGTTTTGAGACTTGCATAGGAAAAGGAGCCCAGGAAGTAGATCCTGTGTGGAGCTGCTGGTGCCCTTATGGGATTTTAACACATTTACCCCCAGTGACTGAGCCTGTCAGACTGGGTACTTGTCAGGGTTCTGCTCCTGCTTTGTTTCATGCGGCACATGGCTCTGCACCTGGTTACTCCTACTCGTTACTTGGTGCTGAGGTAAAATGTGTTGGCTTCACGGGGGGCACATTTCCTTTCATGTTTTCCTTTTTTTCAGGGGGTGCACAGTATGATCAAAACCACATTATCCTCAACACCGCCAGCAAAGAGAAGTTAACACAAGTGTGGGAAGCCATGGTCCTATAACCCTGGACAACGCAGGAGGACTATTTCTGGAGGTCTTCCAGCTACCTTATTTAAAAAGAAAAGGACTGCGGACAAGAACCAAGAGGAAAGCGGATGTGCTCCTCAGCAACTCTAAATTCACTCATGAATCACAGTGCCAGGAGCGGGACAACTGTCTCATCTCTTCAAAAGACCAATGGTTTTAAACCAATAATTTGTTCTTCTTTCACTTCTTGCCTGTCAGTTCCTTTCAGCAGCTGCTTAAACAGGTTGCCTCATTAGCAGCGTTGGGGTGTTTTTAAAAAAATCTTATCTCAAGTGCGTTAAGACTGTACATTTTACATGATTTCCAAAGACAGTGACAGGAGAGAACAGGAACAAATTCACCGACTTGGTGGACCTACATCGCCTTACACTTTAAAGGGAAGGGTAAAGCTTAAGTCTGTAAGGTAGAAACTGTTTAGACCTTAGAAGAAATAATGTATTAGGCCTATAGTTTTGGTCTTTGACCTTCTGTTTTCTGAAATCATTAATTATGCTGTATAGCCAATTGGGAAATTATATATTCAGACATATGTTAAGGAATTGAATGAGTATAGACAAAACACTTGAATTAATATTAAAAACTAGAAAATTTAAAAGATTTCATGTCCATGTCTGCTTACATTTATTAGCAGGATTTGGATTATTTTAATTCACCATGGGCTGCCCTAGATTTTCACACGAGTGTTGTTTGAAGCTTTTCTTACAGATGCTGCTAGAACAGTATACCATGACCTAATTTATTAGCCCATCCCCACTCATCTATAACTAGTTCTGAAGCAATGTAATGCAATCCTTTGCTAAACTCAGGTAACTTAGCCTAATTCCCTGCCCTCCTCCCATCCAGCTGCACTGGCAGGCCTGCGCGGGGCTACCTTACCGGTGATGTTGCACAGCCATGCTCCGAGGACAGCTCAGGTCTCAGGGTATTGCAGCCCGTGGTCACTTTGGGTGTGGAAGGCTCAGGAGGATGACCAGCAATTCTCCAAAAGGAAAGGACAGGAGGCCTTCGGAGATGCTTGTTGGTCAAATCTTAGAACTCTGAAAACCCTAAAATTCAGCAAGCACTTCAATGAAAGTTCAAAATGTTTAACTGCTGACGATACACTGCCCAGATGGTGCTGTTCATACTGTGGATACTCATTTTGAACAAAACTGCTAAAACAGTCCTTGAACACCCTCTTCCTCTTTCTGTCCCCACTTCATTGTCCTCGGCACTGAATGCTGGTGCTCTTGTCACAGGAAGAACAAACCTGGTTTCCTTTTCATGTTTCCCATTCTGAAGTGTTGATCCTCTCTGGCGTCTGTGGTAAGCAATTATGGTCATCATAGTAGTATCTTCGGTTTTAAGTAATGTTTGTACATGTCCAATAGCAGCCAGCATGTCTGTCTTGTTCTGAGGTGTGTGGCTCTGATTTTTGGCCTTTGTGCATCCATTACAGTGTGGTGGGGTAAGACATCATACAGTAGCCGCTGTTGAATTTATCTCTTGAATAAACTTGTTTCTGGTTAACTGTGTTATGAAATCGGTTAGTAGCCCTCATTAACACTTCAAAGAGAGTCAGCTGGCAGATTAGAAACAAATGCCTGATTAGGACAAAGCAAGTTTCAGGGGGGCTAGAATATGGCAGGGAAAGGTCAGCTGACTCCCCTCTTTCCAGACACTGGTGAAAGGGTGCACTACACTTTTTTGAGTGGACATGAGGGGGAGTGAGGTCCTGCCTTGAGTTTACCCTGCACCGCCCCCTGGGAGTCCTCAGAGTTAAAGAGCTGACTGTTCAGGTGGAAGTCAAAGTGGCGTATTTACAACTGGAAAAAAAAAAAAGTTTTTTCTTTTGAGATAAGTCTGTAGTGATGAGATCAGCAATTCCAGAGAAAAGCCCTCATCCAACACACTAGAGTAAATGAGTATCTAATAGGAATAAACTAAGCAGAAAGTTACTCAAACAGGTCTATATCAAAAGCTAAACGCGAGTGTCTAGGGTGCAGTAATGATCAGTACAACAGGAAATGGACACTCACCTGCAATGAATGAAGGGCACACTAGAGATTCAAAAGCCGCACTGGGCATTTGCTAGTAAAGTCAGAAACTGGAGAGCTGTGGGCCCCAGTGGAATGGTGGAAATTTCCATGGAAAGGTCCCCAGAGAAGCATGTTTCACTGGTTGAAGGAGGTCTAGCTCTTATGCAAAATGTAAGGGTTTTTAAAAGTTAGGCACTTTAGCATCACTTTCAATTTCTAAGAGTAAACAACCAAATCACAGCCAGATGTTTACATCTGACCCCAAGGGGTTCAGAACTCAGCAGAGGAACAAAAATCAAAGGAAAGCGTGCTCACTGCTGAACCTAAGAGGGAGCATAAAACAGTAAAATCCGATTCAGCCACTAGGACAGAAGGTGCCACAACAATTTGCAAATCTGGTGTGAAAGAACAGCTTGGAAAAAACAACATGCAATTTTCACTGACTTTATAGACAAGCCCAAGTGTGGCTATGTTCACAGTGTGTCTTACATGTGCATCCATTGTGCTGGGCAGAGGACAGACCTCTCAGCAAACAGGAGTGGGTTACATCAGAAAGCACTCGGCAGGGCAGAGGGATGTGTGGAGGGTGGCGGTGTGGCTGTAAAACCAATCTCTGCACAGTTTAGAAGACAGGAAATTACTAGCAGGAAGTGTTCCTTTTTATATATATAACATGGAATTTATAGTCTAATCTGGAAAGGGATGGCTAAAAAAAAGTTCGGGCCCACCAGCACTCACCAAATAAGAGAGCCAGTAATCACCAAACACTATTTATTTAAATGACATTAATTACAGTCTTTCCTCGTGCATGTCCTCTTTCCACCTTCAGAAAGGCTTCTGGAACTTCAGAAAAAGGAAAGGTTTTTTCAATAACTGGCTGAATCTGTAAAACACAAGAAAAGGTTGATTGGTGGGTAAGAACAGTGACATCCATCAAGGCAGGTAACGTCTGTAATCAGTTTCTTCACTAAGACCCAGTCTCTCTCTAGTCTGTCTGTGCCTCTGGGGAGGAGCTCTCTGCCAGGCCAGGCCTGTGACTGCTGTCCCTGCTCCCATCTGCTCCTCCTCTCTGTGAGGTAGCCCAGCTGCATCATCACTCAACCTAACGTCTGCTCAGCGCTGGTCATGTCACTCTCCTACTCAGAACCCTTCAACAGCTCCCAAAACTTCATTCAAAGGCCACCACCATCCAAACCTCAGCCCTTATGCAGACTCCACACTTCACCAAAATGGTCTGCTTGTCATTGCCTGACATGGTGAGTTTGTGCCTCTCTGTGTTCTACCATCCTTCCCGCCCAGGCCTCACACGACCCTTCCTGACCTCCCAGTTTGCAGTGTTCTCTCTGAACTGCTACAGGACCCATGAGGCCCTCTTCATGGACTGCTTGTTACAGCTGAGTACACGTCTTACCCACCCAATTGGGAAATACCAAAGAGGGTACCCCAAGGTTCTTGCTGTATGTATACCTGTGGCCTCCTCACAGGCAGTGCACTGAATGAGGACAGATTTCTTTGTTTTAATTTGTTAACTGTTTGGCATATTTACTTGACCCAAGCTGAGAGTATCTGTGGTATAGGCCACCTCTTTTGTATCCTCCACAACACCCAGAACAATGCTAGGCATTTGACAGGAGCTCAATAAATATCACTTATATCTATGACAAAGGAGGCAAGAATATACAGTGGGATAAAGACAGTCTTTTCAATAAATGGTGTTGGAAAAACTGGACAGAGACATAAAAAAAGAAACTAGACCACTTTCTTACACCATATACAAGAATAAACTAAAACTGGATTAAAGTAAGACCAAAAACCATGAAACTTCTAGAAAAAAACATAGGCAGTAAACTGTTTGACACCGCTCAAAGCAATATTTTTTTGGCTATACCTCCTAGGGCAAGGGAAACAAAAGAAAAAAATAAACAAGTGGGACTACATCAAATTAAAAAGTTTTTGCACAGCGAAAGAAACCAACAAAATAAAAAGACAACTTACTGAATGTGAGAAGATATTCACCAGTGATACATCTGAAAAGGGCTAATATCCAAATATATAAGGAATTCATACAACTCAACACCCAAAAACAATCCGATTAAAAAATAGGCAGAGGACCAAATAGACATTTCTCCAAAGAGGACATACGGTGGCCAATAGACATATGAAAAGATGCTCAATGTCAGTAATCATCAGAGAAATACAAATTAAAACCACAATTATATATCACCTCACACCTGGGCTTATCATCAATAAATCAATAAACAACAAGTATTTACTGCAGCATTACTAGATATGGAAGCAACCTAAGTGTCCATCAATAGACAACTGGCTAAAGAAGATGCAATACATATATACAATGGAACATTACTCAACTGTAAAAAAGAATGAAATCTTGCCATTTGTGACAACATGGATGGACCTACAGGGTAGTATTATGCTATGTGAAACACTGGTGAAAGGGTGCACTACACTTTTTTGAGTGGACATGAGGGGGAGTGAGGTCCCCCTCATGAAAGACAAATACCATACAATTTGCTTATGTATGGAATCAAAAAAGAAATGAACAAACAAAAGGTGAAAAGGGGAAGGGATTAAAATGCCAGTTATAAAAAAGTCACAGGATATAAAATACAGCGTAGGGAATTTAGTCAATAATATTGGAGTAACTGTGTATGGTGTCAGATGGGTACTGGAAATATCAGGGTGATCACTTTATAAGTTATATAAATGTCTAGTCACTATGTTGTACATCGGAAATGAATATAATGTATATCACCTATACTTGAAAAATAAATATTTTTTAAAGGAATACAGAAAAATAAGACACGGTAAATAAAAAAAATTTTTTTAATGTCACTTAGGTGGAAGCCAGTCAGATAACTGGGAAGTAAGAATCGTATGTGGGCAATGTGGGCCTGAGGAGAACTCATCCAGGGCTGGAACTGCCTTGGGAGACTTTGCTGAACAGCAAAGATGTTGGTCAGAATTGACACAAAAGCCACCTCAGCCATTCAAAATGCCTGAATGTTATTTTTACCATATGGTTCAACAGTACTACCAAACACCTCCTTCAGAAACTAGGTCCCAGGTAGCACCCTCTCCCCATGCTGAGCTCTTCCTTTTCAAAGCTTCAAGCAGAGTTAATCATTGACACAGTGGACCACCTACTGTACCTCCACGGATGAGTTGTCAGAAGGCATAAGCCAACACATATGTTTCCTGACACTTTTCCTTTTACAAAAGGAAGAAGAGTTATGTAGTGTTCGGATGCACCTTTCTCTTGTGTGAATTTCCCAGCTCAGCCACCAGAAGAGCACCTCAGACTCCAAACGTTCCCTTCTCCAAAGAGCTGGAAATTCTTCTGTACCCACAAATCACACTAAGCTCATGATAAAAGTAACAGCTGATACGTGTTGTCCTCCCTGCGACAGGTGCCCTTCTAAGTGCTCTATATAATTTACCTCATTTAATCCCGATAACCACCTTACGAGGTAGGTACTATTCCCACTTTACAGATGAAGAAATTAAGGCACAGAGTTAAGTAAGTTGCCCAACACATAACTGCCAAGTGGTAAGGCAGAATTCGATCTATTGCCAGAGTCTGTGCTCTCACAACTGCTCACTGAGCCTTTCATATAATGTCAGCTGCTTTCTACAGCTCCTAAAATATTAAGGTGGGGAAAGGTAGCCAAGGATTATAACCACTTACCTGTATCTTGGCTCGCATGCCTCGTGCTATGGGATCATGCCAGCTGCAGAAGTAGTCCCTAAACCCTGTGTCCAGGCCACTGAGATGGTAGATGTGTGGTATATATGCCACCCCTCCCATCTGTACCATGGAGGACACCCCTGATCAGTAATCATGGTCCTCCCAGCAAGCTGAGCATGACTTTTAGAACTCAACACTGCAGCCACTATGAACAGATCTGAGCCGGCTTGTTAGATGAAACCTATTTGCCTTCTCTGCTAAAAAGAATGGAACGCACTAATGTTGTATCTTGCATGTCCCATATCAAACCTCCTAACCCTCCAATCTCTCTAAAGCTCCTGGGACATTGTTTTCTGGATGCTGATTACCTGAAAAGGAATCACCTGAATGCATGCTCCTTGGCCTCCTGTTAGAACTAAATCAGAATCTCTAGGGATGAGGTGGAGACAATTCATTTGAAATAAGCTTCCCAGGTGAATTTCTGCACATTAGCAGCCTTTTGCCCTATTCTTAGGGTCCCTGACTCATATCATACACACATTTATTCATTCCACAAAGACTATATGCCTTCTAAGTGCTAGGCACTAATCCAAAGCCGAACACAAAACAGGCAGCTGTGACAAATTAAGAAAGGAGGCAGTAACATAGACTTGTCATAGAACACTGGACACCAGTCACAGAACCAAGGCAGCAGCATGGCACTAGAGGCCATAGAGGACCCCAAATTCACTGCTCCACTCCAGCATGAGCTGCCTCGGGTCATCCCACTCTGGTCACTTTACACTCTGACGGGAGACCGGGTCTGGAACTGATGACACAGGCCGCCTGCAGCGACTGCACACTTTCATCAGGTGGTCAGGCCTATTGTGGGGATAAGCCCAGAAGGCTGACTGTGGCATAATGAGTCATTCAGCTCTTCCCATAAGTGACAATAAAAAGAGGCTCTTGATTAACAGGCAGGCAAATGCCAATGTTGGCCAAATATGTGATAGCAAACGGAGATTAACTAGATAATGAGGCAGTGTCTGTGGACAGCTTCGCTTCAGACCTACAATGCTCGTTTGTTATGGACAAAGGGATCAGTAAAAACCCAGAGGGGAAAGAAAGGTGACTCGCAGTGAGGTGGAGACGTTTATGTGATGACACTGCTATAGTCCACCCAGCACAGGGAGCCCTGTTATAAAGCGAGTGGGCTCAACACCACACCTCCACTATGGACGGGGCTCACAGCTGACCAGGAGGCAGATGCCATGGCAGCAGCGCTCACTCCAGTCTTGGCCCCAAACTCGGGGTCTCCTGATGGTGCCTTATCTTCCTTAAACACAGGCTGTAGAAAGCCAGGCCCCAGGGGTTGGCACTTGTTGCCTGACATCCCTCCTATGAGGAGTTAGGGACAGTGGGAACCTCAGCCTCCCGTGTTCCTCCGAGGCATGCTGACGCTTACCAGCCTCGGAGCAAAACCCTGTCTGCCCCTTGAGGAAAGAGGCAAGAAAAGCCCGCTCACCACAAAGCACAGGAAAGCTGGTGGTGCAAGGACATCATCCAAACAGGCACAGCAGAGAGTTTTCCCTCAATTCCCATTTTCCCAGTGAGAGCTGCAGAACAGCAGAGCTTAAAAGACATCCCAATACTAAGCGAGCCTATTTGATAGATTGGGAAACCGAACCGCAAGTGATTAAGTGCAAGGTCAGAGCGGTCAGCAGAGGAGACACACTGAGGACAGCATGTGTGAGTGCACTATGGGGAGGGAAGCTCGGGGCAGTCTGCCCAGCTGTCCTCCAGACCCCACCTCAGCATCCACTGCACATGGAAACCGCAGATCTCAGAGGGTGGGGTGTATGAGGAGAGACAGATGAGTGACAGGCACCAAGATGATCTAAGGGTCCTGGCATGAGCCCAAGTCCACACTCCTGTGGACAGACACCAGGGAGCCAGGGCAGGGTGACAGAACCACAGTCCCAGCCTCTAGAACAGGTATGGCCCTGACCTCCGAGATAGGTTCAATATTTCCAGGGTCGGGGTAAAGGGGAATGAGGGGACTTAAACTAAGGAGACATAAAGAAGACAACAGAAAGAGGCAGACTTTGTTTCTGGAACTTCCTGCCCTAGATAGAAAACATTAAGCTAGAAGATAGGCGGTGAGATGGGGTGGGATGGGGATACTCTCAAAGGGACTCTCAAAGGGAGTAACTGTGCCCATTTTGGAAAGCATCCAGGACTTATCCCTAGATCCCCATGAAAAAAAGGCACTCCTTCCGGAAACTCTGCCTACATTTCCCCCACAGAAATAATCTCAGCAGCATCAGAAAACGTCTGTGGCGTCAAGGCTTCAGATCCATGAGGCACTTGCCGTATCTGGCAAGATAACCCTCTTCTAGTGTTCTAGGATTCAATTCCTGATCACTGCATTCTTTCTATGGAGGAAAAAATCCAGTTAAAAATAAGGAGCCTACAGTTTTGCAATGTAATTAACTGCCTAAACTAGGGGCTGGCCATCTCAACAGGGGTCTGGGAAATTGCCTGACTCGGAACTTGGTACATTTTTTCTCTAAAACTGTACTGTCCAATACGGTAACCTCTAGCCACATGTGGCTATTTGAATTTAAGCTAATCAAAAGTCAATAAAATGAAAAAGTCAGTCTCTCAGTTGCACTAGCCACCTTTCAAGTGGCCAACAGCCACATGTGGCTAGTGGCTACCACACTGCACAGTGCAGAGAACTCCTCCATCCCTACAGGGAGCCAGTGTACAGCACTGCGTGGAGGTAACTCAGCGTTGCCAAAATACCTCTCCACATCCTCCTGGGTAAAGCAGAGTACTTGTGGGCCCTCAGTAAATATTCTGAATTAAATTCGAATTAGTACATAGGAACTATTTTGATGCTGGCTCAAATAAAGACATAAACGGAAGTATCTACATCATCACTCAATCAAGAAGCTTGGCTGGTCACCTAGGATCTTCAATAGACCTGTGGACATTAAGTATATGACATCAAAGGTCTCTAGTCATTACATGAAGAATGTGTGCAAAGAAACATACTCAAAAAGATGAAAGGGTACAAAGAAAAATTTCCCTCCCATACTTGATCCCCAGCCATCTAGTTCCCCTCCTCAAGGGCAACCAGTATTTTAAATTTTTTTTCATATCTTTTGAGATATTTTATGCTTGTGGCGGCCAGAGTAACAAAACCTGCGAATATGATCATTTAATTTGCAAAAGGGTCTCTGCAGATGAGACTGTGGTCAGGATCCTGGGATGGGAGAATTAGCTGGGTAAGTCCAACATAATCACAAGGGGGAGGCAGAGGGTTAGTCAGAAGGAGAGAGATGATAATGGAAGCAGAGGTCAAAGTGACGCAAGGCCACGAGCCAAGGAATATACGTAGGCAGCCTCTAGAACAGCGGTTCTCAACCTGTGAGTCTCGACCCCTTTGGGGGTCGAACGACCCTTTCACAGGGGTCGCCTAAGACCATCGGAAAACACATATATAATTACATATTGTTTTTGTGATTAATCACTATGCTTTAATTATGTTCAATTTGTAACAATGAAATTGCGGGTCACCACAACACGAGGAACTGTATTAAAGGGTCGTGGCATTAGGAAGGTTGAGAACCACTGCTCTAGAAGCTGGAGAAGGCAAAGAAACAGACCCTCCCCACCACCTGCCTCCAAAGGAACACAGATCTGCTGACCCATTTTGGACTTCTGACCTCCACAACTGTAAGATAATAAGTGTCATTTTAAGCCACAACACTTATGGCAATTTGTTACAGCACCAATAAGAAACTAACACATGCATATAAAGGCAAAGATATATAAATATTTTCCCTCAAAGCACAGTCATTTTTATCAGTGGCTGGTTGTGATCTTAAGTCTGCCTCATCACCTCCTCTCAGTCCTGAAAGATACTGACAGATTCAAGAAGAGAATACTGTAGATAGAATTCAAGCTCCACCTATCTAATATATGGATGACTAAGCAAGCAGAAAACAATGAAGGTTCTGTGAGAAATTTATTTTGATTTTTTAAAGATTTTTAATTGATTTTTCTAGAGTAAGAGGAAGGGAGAGGAAGAGAGGAGAAAAATATCAATGTGAGAGCGAAACATCGATAGGCTGCCTCTTGCATGCCCCCTACTGAGGATAGAGCCAGCAACCTTTTGGCTCAATCCTCATCAACTGACAATATCCAACTGAGTCCTACTGGCCAGGGAGAGAAATTTAGTTTTTAACTATTATTGTCCCAATCTTAAAGGCAGCAAAGGATGATAGAAGGAACTGTCCCAGAGGTCATGAGACCTGGACCCTGCCTAGCTCTGTGACCTTGAACATGTCATTTAGTCTCTTAGAGCCTCAGTCTCTTTAAATGTGACACAATGGTAGGATGGGGAGTGGAGGGAGGGGAGGATAGTAAGCTAGATATGTGCTAGGTTTTCATGTTTTTAATCTTTGAGTATGTTAATCAATGACACATGTTTGGCCCAAATCTAGTATTTGCTATGGCCCTCCCACTCCCAACAAAAAATGATTGCTAAATAGTATAAAAAAACAGAAAATGCTCATTGTGCTTAGCAGAAAATGGCACAAGGCACAATTGCAGCTGCCCATTACACTCAATGTGTTGATTATAAACCATTCTCTGATCAGCCTACTGATACACAGAACATATTTGGAATACCCAAAAAACTGGTAACACTAGTTGCATCTGACAGGGAGAATCTCAGTCACTGAGGGACAGGAGTCAAAGGAAGATTTCTTAAAATTACTTTTCCTACCTTTTAAATTTAAACCTTGCAAATGTATATCTATTTAAAAACTTTAAGTATTTTAAAAGAGTAGGCTCTTTTGGTTCATGGCTTCACAGTGTCAAAGAACAACTAACTATAGGTCCTCTATCAGACGCCTTGAATTAGAGTCATTAAGCACTCAGCCAAAGCTTAAAGAATGTCAATCTTTACTAACCACACAATACGTAAGTAGACCTGATACGTAATCCTTTCTGATTTCCAAGTGTAGGCAGTCAGTGACCTGTTGCACCCACAAAGAAGCAGGATGCATGATAAGAGAGCCGACCTCACCAGGACATCCAATGTCACATATCAACTTCCATGGTTCCAGAGCCCTTCACTGTCAGAATTACACTCAAGCCCAAATAAGTCGGTGCAGAGAAGGTCAGAAGAATATTTCCTCACTGCCCCTCATTCAAGGATACTTCAAGGGCATCTTTATTTATATCATTTCCTTTATTAGCCATTCTACCAGTTATCTGCCAAATTTAATAGATACATATACACAAGTCACCTCTCTTCTTTGTTTAGTAAATAGTATTTTCCAGGTAGAGAGAAAGAGGCAGTGTTTTGAATACAAAGTGGTAGTGGTAAGTGGACAGCCTGAAACAGCTATCAGGACAAGCACAGTTGTGTGGTGGCCGCTGTAGGACAGGGACCTAACAATGGAGCTCCAACCACATGAGCACTATACAGAATCATGGGCCAAATTATCTTACAATAGTTTATTCCTGTCTTTCTAAAAATAAAATAAGCATCCAAGGGATGTGGGAAGACCCCTGCAAAGGGGCACTCACACAGTCATAATAAGGCTGAGCCCTCCGTCTACACACCCAGATTCAGAAGTCCGAGAAAAGGCATGCAAATTTGAAACCAAAAAATTTAGGGAAGAGTAGTAGGTCTTTACTATCACATAATGTATGTAGTTCCTTGGCTGTAATAGAATTTTAAAAAAACAACAACAGTACATGCATAAAAAGAAGTCAGAAGTTCCTAAAAACAGTCCATTCCACAACTGAAATGGAACGACAAAATGGGCCAGCAAGGGGCAGGTGCCAGCAGAAGCAAGTCCATCGCAAAGGGTTCTTTGCAAGTGGCTTAGCATGGATCACGTGGAGGTAATGCTGGCCCTGCTCCAATCACTATCCCTGCCCCCTGTAAAATGACAAGGGAAGTCCCAGATCAGACATAGGCACTAAGATTGCAGCTGAAGGTGGAGAAGGAAAAGCACAGGACTGGGAGTCAGGAAGTATGAGTTCTGGTCCCACCTCTGCACATGAGCAAGTCCCATTATCTCTTTGAGCCAGTTTTCTCATCTGTAAAATGGAATGATTTTATCTATGCCCTCTAGAGTATATAAGGTTCTCCATCCTATAATTCCATATCATCTCTCAATAAAGTCATAAATATCAGCACCAAAATATGAGTCTGCCTTCTGGGTTATCCTTCAAAGATAGAATATCAAAGAGATTAAGATTGTGTACAAACTCAAATAAACGGCAGTAGCTGAGGAGCCTTTCAACCCTCAACAGCCCTGAAAGGCCTTTTGATACCCCAAAAGATATGACCTGAATATAAGCAGCAGTCCTTCCCCACAATGCCCACTGCAGGATGGCCACGAGTGGTCGGAAAACCAACCAGTTATCCCCACAAAGTCTCCATCCATCCTCACCCATGTCCTGCCCATCAACCCTCTCAGGCATACCATTTACTGGCCCTCGATTTTCTTACACCAGCCAGGGAATAGGAGACCCCGGTACCTGACTTTCAGTCCAGTTCTGTTGGGGTTTAAATTCCAATGTTTGGTCTCCTTGCCCGTCTGGAAATCCGCTACCTCCAGAAGCAGTTCCATCGTAAACTCACGAGTGTGCCCCCACCTCCTTGCACACCGCCTTCACGGTGCCTCCTTTTCAGGACCATTAGCAGATAGTAGCAGCCCAGCTACAGACCCCAGCTCTGCTAACCACTAACCAATGGTCCTCAGGGGAATCATATAACCTCTCTGGGCCTGCCTCTTCATCTATAAACCAAGAGGATTCGACTAGACAGTGTGAGCTCTTTTTCAGATATAGCAGTCTACGTCTATGATTCCCAGGGAGGTAGAACCAAAAACACGGCACTTAAACTTGGCCATGTGAGGCAGCACGCATGCTGGTCGAGCCCACCTCTGCAGAGTTCCCAAGGACTGGGCTTGGTGGGCAGGCTGCCCAGATTACAAGGAACACTCTAGCAACACAACAGGCTGCACATACCTTTCCTTCATCCACCAGCTTTGCAATGTCATCCAGATATAGACCACTGGCCATGAAAAAGGCCCAGCGGTAATGGACTCCTTGCCAGAAATGCTAAAATGAAAAGGAAAAAAAGACATGTCAAATACAAAAAAGGATAAATTCTGACTAAATGCAAATTTAGAGAAAAGTATTTTCTGGAGGACTAAGACAGACAAACTGACTTCCCATTTCATGCTGCCACAATGAGCTGTATGCCCAGCACCTTGGCACAGTGAATGACAGTGAATGCTCTGTGAATGTTTAGTAAATAAATGAATGAACAAAAACAATCCCTGTGAACTCAGGCTTCTTCACCAATGTGTGATTGACAAGTAAGCACAGGAAAGCTCTCCTTAAAATGACAGTCTATATCAGTGGTTCTCAACCTTCTGGCCCTTTAAATACAGTTCCTCATGTTGTGACCCAACCATAAAATTATTTTCGTTGCTACTTCATAACTGTAATGTTGCTACTGTTATGAATTGTAATGTAAATATTTGATATGCAGGATGGTCTTAGGCGACCCCTGTGAAAGGGTCGTTCGACCGCCAAAGGGGTCGCGACCCACAGGTTGAGAACCACTGGTCTAGATGGTCTTATATACTCAATTTCTTCCCTACGAGAAATTATGGCTGATACCTCTAGGCCTTCTCTACTAAGGTTTGAGTTAAGGCCGAGAGGCACCAGAAAAGAGCTTTTTACCTAATTCAAGAATTCTTTGAGGGCAATAAGGCATCAAAATATAATTTTAGATAAGAAACCCACAGGTTTTTTTTTCTGGCTCTGAGAGTAATAAGATAGTTTTAAAGACAAAACAAAGTTAAGGGTTTTTAATGTATCATGGCTGGGTCTTCCCCTATAGTTACAGCAAGTCCAAAGCCACCTAATTTATAATGGGACAAAACATCTCCTGGTGAAGATAAGCAAAAATCTTACACCAAGAGGGTTCTTGAACACTCACTGCCATACCTACTTTGAACTGTTATTATTTATTATCATTAGGCAATGATGAAAACAACAAGTGAGCTGAGGATCTCCATGATACCCCACTGACCTGCCCAACTACACTTGGTCAGATGTGAGCTATCCTGAGGCAGCCAGGACCATGTGCCTCCTCCCCGCATGTGCCCACAACTGCTGGGATGGCTGACTTCTCTTCCCTGAGCCCGCCCTCAACGTTGCCTCAGCGTGAGTCAGCTGCTACCAAGGCATGGAGCTGGCAAGTATAATGGAACTCCCCTGCTACTCGAGCTCAGGCACTTAATAGCTGTGTTATTTAGGTCAAGCTACTTCTTTCAGACTGTTCCCTGGCCTGCAGAATGGTGATGCCACCACCTAGCGCACAGGGTTGTTGGAAGGATTAAAGGAGAATGTATGTAAAATGCCTGATACATAAAAAGTATACAATAAATGTTCCCCTAGTGCTAAAGTAAAGCTTGCTGAGGAAAGACTGGGGCAATGTCAAATGAGAGTTAAGACTAGAAAGAAAGACAAAACCAAGCTGTTGTCTAGGCAGAGCTTCACAGCAGGTGTGTCAGGAATGGCTTACGGGTTTGGTCAAGTGACCCTACAGTTTACTGTCTAACCTGGAACAACTGTGAGAATTAAAGGAGTCACCATTAATAATTATCCCAAGACTACAGATGCAAACAGACCCAAGTTTACCCTAGAATAGGTGGAACGGGACATGGATGCCCGTCAGCCCTTGGGATAGCAGGGCAGAGCCTGGGCTGCAGAGGCTCCAGGTAGTTTGCTCCCGGAGGAGCCTCAATGTGCTCTTCAAATAGTTTCATATTCTATGTGTGTCAGGGCATGAAAGAGGTCAGGAAACACTGGTCTAGGTAACTTAAAAAAAAAAAAGGCAAAAAAATACAGTTTGAAGCACTGAGATTATCCCAAGCTTACAGGGGGCCCAGTTAATTATACTCACAGACCAGCTCATGTACTTCCTGCTAAGGTCTAGCCTTACAGACTACAATTAAAACATTCTGGTAATTGTTTAGGGTTTTAAAGAAGGAATAGCAATAGTCACCACCGTCATGTCTCTAACTCTTTACAGTGGGTTGCCCTGTAAAGTGAAACTTCTGTTCTGCAACAGCAGAATTTTTACTTTTTTTCCCAGGCCATTACAGGAGAGAGTAAACTAAAGCAGGCAGGAGAGCCCAGAGCATTACAATGAGGCTTTAACTGCACATTCTAGAAAGACATCAGAAACTACTTAAAAGGTTTTCACATGAGATTACCACTATCATCTTTCAAGCAGGGAGAAAGGGAAAATGAAGAGACCTATGCCTATTTTACTCTCAGAGGCCAGCTCTGAAGGTCAAATTGTAAGGGGTCTCACTGGAATACAAACTGTAAAACCATTTAGAAAACTTAAACTTATATTTTAAAGCTCTTGGAAAGCCTGGGTTTTGTGAAAAAGGAAAGAAGAGACAAATCATAGTACGTTTCCTTTCTCTCACAGAGCACCCTGTGCACACCTTCTGGCTGCATTTGGATCCAGTGAAAATGTGCTGTGTGTTCACTGTGTTGGGTGTTCACCTCTATCACCCACACACGGTTCCTAAGAATTGAGTGCTGGTCTCTTTTATCACAGCTCTTCGCTATTACTTCTAAGTGTGTAATTAGTACACAGAATCCGACAGACCAAAGTCCTAAAGTTCACTCCCAGAAAGGTTCCAAATTAATTTCTAGAATAAAAAAAAGTTAAGATAATTATCAAGCCAGTCATCTCACAAATATGGGTCAGTGACGGAGGGCTCGACACAGTGACCCACAACCTTTTACTGTAAAGGAACCTTCTACTGCCTTTTTCCTGGGCCTAAAGTATTTTGTCTAATTAATGAAATAGAATTTATCTTCCTTTTTTGTATCACTTATTCCACCCTCTCACTAATTCAGATTTTAAACCAATGACCTATAATTACCAACAGTGTATAAGGTGGAATTATGTAAGGTTCTGTCATCATTGTGAGGACAAGGCTATCATGTTAAGTAAGAACAAACACTCAAGCCACCAGTCCTGTAACCAAGGCTGCGCGTCTCCAGGCCCACCACACACTGGATGTGTTCAGGTGGGGGACAGAGCTCCTTACAGCCCTGGTAACAGTGGCCCTGTTAACAGTCAGGCTGACTAATCAAGCGTCAGAAACTCCCAGAATGCCATCAATAGCTAGAGTTTCTGATCTACATGGGATATGCAGTGTTGGGACAATCAATATAAATCCAGGAAAGGCCTGATGGTTCTATGAGTCTTTGTAGTCTCACTGAAGTAAGACTACAATTTCCTTCAGGTTTTTGAAATTCAAAAATTGCCCATTGACTTCTAATGGTCTGAAAGCCCCAACTGGGAATCACTGGCATATCCCAATCCTACGAACATAAAAATAGCCAGCTGCAGACTTACTAACATTTTCACCTTCCCATACAAGAGACCTTATGTGTTAAGACTGGTGAAGATAGCATCAGATATAGGCAAGAAAAAAGCAGAAGGTATATCAGATGGTAACAATAAAGGCTAACATTTAACAGGACCTTTCATTGTGCCAAGTCCTTCACATGGATGATCTCATTTAACCCTTACAACATGAGGTAAGGCATATATCCTACTAGCCCCGTGTTACAGGTGAAGACATCAAGGTCTAGTGACAATGATTTGCAAGGGGTCACACAGCTACTAAGGAGGATAAAATTTGAACACAGTCAGGGTGCGACTCCAGAGCCCATGCTTGTCCCCAAGATGAAAGAAACTGGCTGGGTGGAAATCAATTTCCAGGAGCAAGAGGCACTTGCTTGTTCTCATCAACCAGGACTTGAATCCTTACCTTTAGTGTCTTAGAGCCCATGGTGACGCCCGTCTGCAACATGCCGTCTGCTACGCCCAACCGGTCCATGTTCAGGAGAAAAGGAGTCACCAAAGTCACGTATGTGGCTCCTGACCATTTCTTGAGTAAATTTAGAGCCCACGTTTCAGTGGACCCACCAACATTATCAAGGATAAAATCAAACCTGGAGAGGAAGAAGCAATCAGAAGATCCTTGTCAGTCTTTACCCAGGGCTCCAACCCCCCTTCAATCCCATCACCAGTAGCCATAGGGTTTCTTTCAGTGACAGTCACAAACTCAGCTGTGCTGTGCTATCCAGCTGAGGGGTGGCTGCTTTGACAAAGGAGTAAAGGGAATAGCCACTTACCGAGTCTCTGGCTTTTCTACTAGATAAGTCAACCGTGACTGATTTTTTGTGTCATAAAATCAAATTTTCTAATACTTTAAGAATGACTTAAACAAGTGGTTGTTAACAGAGGGTGATTTTAGCTCCCAGGGGACATATTAGGCAATGTCTAGAGACATTTTTAGTTGTCACAACCCTGTAAGGTGGTGGGAAGAGGCTAATGGCACCTAGAGGCCAAGGATGATGATAAACACCCTACTGTGCACATAACAGCCCCTCACAACAAAAAATTATCCAGTCCCAAAGGTCAACTGTTGAGAAACTAAGGTAGCCAAGGTTGAGAAACCCCGACTCTAGCTCTATAGAAAACTGCAAAGCTATCCATGCGATAAAAGTCTTCTTTAGTGCAGAGAAGCACTGGAATGACAAATATGTAAGGTTTTCACCTACAGAAACAATTTGCTTTAATCCCTCTAGACTTAGAACTGCTTATAGAAGCATCCTCTTTCCCTGGAATGTTCTACCTTTTTTTGTTGTTGTTTCATGCATAGCATCAGGATAATGTATAAAGAGCAATCAACAGCCTGCTCTCAGTCTTCAATTCTGCTCTAACATGCCCAGAAAATCCAGGCATGATGGAATCCACAGGAACTAACAGATACTCAACGCTTTACGTCTAATCTAAAGCTGCTATAATCACTACATTCTCCTTAAAGGGGATAAAACTCAATGAAGCTTTTAAATATTTGTTAAAACAAAGATCTATTTAGAGACTGTATGCTTATACATTAAGCAAATTGATAAATTTCTTTTTGATAAATCCATTTCTCTGCTAAATTCATATGGATTTACCTAGAAGCCAGATCTCGAAGGCCCAGAGAGGCCTAGGTTCTGACACACAGGGTGGAAGGCAGTGGATAAGATCTCTGCAAGGGACAGCGTCATCCCTCACACATGCCAAGTGAGTTCCGCCACGGGGGCTTTCTACTTGCTGTTGCCTCCATCTGGAACAACTGCTCTGCTCCTAAGTTTCCCTCAATAACTCAGTAAACAAATATTTTGGTTGTTGGTTTACTTTGTGTGTTTTTTTGCTTATTGAGCACCCACTACATGCTACTGTACTGCTCCAAGTGGAGGGATACAGCAGGGAACAGGTTTTTAAAAATCCTACTCTCCTGGCTTGCCCACAGATGCCTCTGCTCCAATGCTTCAGAGGCATTTTTAAAACACTGTATATCAGACAGACTCACCAATCATTTGTTTTTCCCTTTCCCTGCATCGGTGTTCTTGAGAGCACTTGCCAATGAAACCTCCCTGACTAGAATATAAGTGCCATGAAAGGGAAATTTGTCTTGCTCACCAATGTATCTCATTCTATGCTTAGAACACTGTCTGGCAAGAGTGGAGGCTCTATAAACAGTTGAAGGAATAAGGAGTCAGTTCCTGGGTGCACCGCCATACTGCTGTTGGGAGCTGGGGGTGCTGGCTGAGAAAGGCTAGGCAGTCAGACAGGGGCTCCCTTTTTTTCTCCTCTTTTTTTTTTAAGCCATGAAAATATATTTCTACACAAAGTGGGCAAGAATAATTGGCTTCTGTAAAGTAATTGAAAAAGGAAACACCTTTGAAAAAGAAGTAGTAAGCTCTGGCCCATGTGGTTCAGTTGGCTGGACATCAGCCCATGCACTGTACACTGAAAGATTGCCAGTTTGATTCTCAGTAAAGAAAAAGAAGCAGTAAAGTAGCTTTCCAAACACTGCTAGGTTATGCTCTCAGCATATCTTGGCCAGATGAAGACCAGATTAATAAGCGCCCACAGTCAAGATGAACAGGGCCTTGGAGAATGCCTGAATCTGCTCCTGTTTGTACATTAGGCCAAACCACAGCCTGGCATTCAGCGGCACCGAGAACATTCACAGTGCTCCCATCATCAATATTTATGCTGTCTTTGTTTCTGTGAAGCCCTTATTAAGCCAAAAATGTGTTTAGTGCTAAGCATAAATTTTCATGCACTGCACTAAGTTCTTCCTGTGGTGACAGATGCCATCAAAAGGAACACACTTCCAATTCTGCCTTCAGACCTGTTACAAGCCAGTAATGAAAGTTAACTGAAAAGACCATGTAAGCAAAATATCTTCCTCAATACCTATTTCATTGTGTTATTGTGCTATATTAACATCTGGAATTAACACAGAAACCAACTTAATGATTTCTAATAACACTGAATATTTTCACTGATACTTCTCTAAGATTCCAACATGATCACCAAAACACCTCAGGCTTTCATTATCAATTGTGAACATTGTTCTAATACATACGGTTTTAAAGATTTCAACTGTTCTTCCACATTTCCAGATTTGTAATCAATTACATCATCTGCCCCAAGCTTCTTTACAAGTCCACTGGCATCCTGAGAGCAAACTGCTGTCACATGAGCATCCCATGCTTTCATTACCTGCCAAATAAAAGGGGAGGGGGGAGAGAGAGAAAGTAGAAAACTGCATTTTTTAAAATAGCTGGCACCACATGTACATGTATCAGCCCGATCTCTAGAGAACTCTAAGTGCTTCGTCTTAATGAACACTACAGGAAACCATCTGTCAGAAACTAGTAAAAATGATTCAACTTTTGTTCACTCAGAAAATTCCAAGAAGTAGATCTCATTTTCCCTGGATGCGACAGCCAGTCGCCTGTTGTCATGAAGTTATAACCAATCCAATCAGAGAAGAGCGCAATGCTTCACCAGTATCAGAAAAGACAGGAGTCTATAGCCTCAAGTTTAGTACTTTTAAGGTTGACAAAAGTAAATGGCAAATCTATATATATAAAACCCTAATATGCAAATAGACCGAACGGCGGAACAACTGAACAACCAATCACTATGACGTGCACTGACCACCAGGGGGCCCACGCAGAACATGCGGGTGTCGGCTGTGTGGATGTGCAGCAGGTGGGGGGGGGGGGCACGACAGCAGGGAGGAGGGGGGGCCAGAACAAGGTGGGGCCCTGGTCGCTGTCATCGGGGCGAGCCTCTGGTAGTTACTGAAAATTCTTTGCTCCTGAGTGCCTCGATGCCTGGCGCTGGTCCCAATCACTCAGCGCCGTCAGTGGGTGCGAGCGGCGGCGGCTGCGGGCCCCGATCGCCCTTCAACGCTTCTCCACCTCCCCCTGTTCCTGAGGTGCAATTAGGCAGCCACTGCTCACACCTGCTGCCGGCGATGGCCCCACTTGCACCTGTTGCTGGTGCCAGAGCCGCCGCTTGCACCCACTGCAAATGCCAGGCACCGGTCCCAATCTCTCAGGGCCATCAGCGGGTGTGAGCGGCGGCTGCCAGCCCTGATCACCCTGAGGGCTTCTCCACCTCCCCTTCCTCCTGAGGGGCGATGGGGGCAGCAGCTGTCACTCGCACCTGCTGCTGGCACCGGCCCCAATTGCTCCACGCAGTCAGCGGGTGCGAGCGGGGCCAGCGCTGTCAGCATGTGAGAGTGGGAGTGGTGGAAGCGGGGCTGCCAGCAGATGGGACCAGGGGCCGTGGCTGGAGGGGCCTGGGGGCGTGGAGGATGGGCCGAGACCCGTCCCTGTGCCCACCACAGCCTCATGGCCCACAGTTCCTTTCAAGGTGCACAAATTCGTGCACTGGGCCCCTAGTAAATAAATAAAAACATGTTCTCAGAAAATGACAATTTAAAATATATTCAGAACATAAAAATGCAACATTTCTTCATCTGTATCTTTAATAAGAGTTAGTACAGTCTTGAGTAAGGCAGCTGTATCAAAGCAATTAGCTCTCCCTAGCTGGTTTGGCTCAGTGGACAGAGCGTCGACCTATGGACTGAAGGGTCCCAGGTTCAATTCTGGTCAAGGGCACATGCTTGGGTTGGGCTCCATCCCCAGTAGGGGGTGTGCAGGAGGCAGCCAATCAATGATTCTCTCTCATCATTGATGTTTCAATCTCTCTCTCCCTCTCCATTCCTCTCTGAAATCAATAAAAATATATATTTTTTTAAAAAGCAAGTAGCTCTCAGTACTAGGTAATAAATGACTGGATCAGTTTTTAAAAGAAGTGAAGAAAATACAACCACTTTATTTTTAAACATGATTACCTTGGAAGTAAAAAGACCTAAATATATAGTTCCCCAGATATAAAATGTGGATGCCTTATATTTTTAAAGTAATAAGGAATGTCCTGGTTGGTGTGACTCAGTTGATTGAGTCTCATCCCAAACACAGGAAGGTTGCCAGTTCAATTCCCCAACAGACCACATCCCTGGTTTGTGGGCTCAATCCCTGGTAGAGGGTATGCAGGAAGCAGCCAATTGATGTTTCACACTCACATCAATGTTTCTCTCTTTCTCTCCCACTCCCTTTCTTTCTCTTTAGAAAAATCAATACAAATCTTAAATACAAAAAAAAATGAATAAAGGATTTAAAAACCATTTATAATCTTACCTAATCTCTCACTTTTAAAAGCAACATTGACCAAGGTTTTATATGCCCTGGAAATATGAGGGGAATTAAAACATTTAGGAGTGACGTCATATAAAATGTATGATGTTTATAGGCTGCAAACAGAGAAACTTGAGTACAATGACATGTTGCTTTCAACAGCAAGTCCCAATCTATATTCAATTATGTCAAGAATATAATCCAAGATAAATATCCAGTACCTATATATAAAAAAGAAACTGTGGAGAAAAAGGAAATTATGTTTTAAGCACTACATTTAATGGTTTCTTTAAATAGTATTAAACCCTCAGGAAGAATTTATCACATGTTGAAACAGTTCAATGAATTTTTTCTAAATTTCCAGTTTTTCCTCTCCCACTTAGAACTATCTAGTATCTTTAAACACCACTAATAGATTTTAAAAACAGCTTTACCTTTAAAAAATTTTTTATGTAAAATAAAGCACAAGCATAAAAAAATGCGTACATGGCAGACACAACACAGAAACACAAAACAGCAGCCATTCCAAAAGCTTTTCTATGTGCCCCACCCCAACACAAGTCTCTCCCTCCCTGGAAGTCATCATTATCCTGATGTTTATAGTAATCACCTCCTTGCATTTAAAAATATTGTTTTAGCACACAGATGTGCATTCCCTAGACACTATAGTTTAGTCTTGTGTATTTTTGAAATTCAATGTCTTCTAAGTCTCTTTTTAAACTATAGGTTCCTCTTCTATCCCTTCACTTTGTAATAATTTATCTGTGAAAAAATCCAGGCCATTGACCTGACCTGCAGAGTTTCCCCAGTGATGAATTTCTAATTGCACACTCAGGGCTCTGGGCCACATGCCGCTCTGTGCTCTGTGTCTTCTGTTTCAATCCCTCTAGCAAGACTATGGACAGTGTCTGGCAAAATGAGAACAGGCACATCCTGTCTGGTTGTTGCTCTTATTATCTTAGCAGCTGTCCACTGGTGGTTGCAAAATAATAATATTCTTTTTTTTTAATTTAGTAGTTGGAATACTTCTATGAAGAAACATGCTTTGTTTACTCAGGTAAAGTCCATACAGTAAAGGCAAGACACATAATTGTTTACCTTTTTCAGTTTTTAAATAAGTTGGTCCTCTTCCAAAACTGACCACTTTTAAAAAATATATCATCATGAATTCATGGATTTAAATATATTTAAAGGGTTTTGATCCATAATAATTACCATTATTACTGAAACTCAAAGTGTAACATCTTTGGGAGTTCCTTCAAGTTGACAGTTTCCTTACTATTTAATATACTCCATGCTTATTCTTGTACATTTTGTGACCCAGATCTGTAATCTGCCATTTCTCCAAAAGCCCTGCTTTCTTTTAAGGAACAAAGATATTTCACGAGACAGCTTTGCATACACCAGTACACAAAATATGTTGAGTTCATATTGATACTTCCTATTCAAATTCAAGACTACAAAGCTTTCCAACATTTCTTATATAAGACATCCACAAAGTAACTCATATATTAAACCACTGGAAAGATTAACACTTCCTTCTACATTAGAAAATTTCCTTCTTAGAAGGGCAAGTTGAAATTACAGTGAATTTACTGAACCTACCTTTCCCTCAGGCTTTTAAGAAAAAATAATTTATGTGAATTTAGAAATTCATGAAATAATAATCTTTCTATTGACAAGATAAAAAGTCATCTTACATTTTTAAAAGAAACTGAAGGAAACACAAAGAAATGGAGAGAGATTCTGTGCTCATGCATTAGGATCAATATTGTTAAAATGTCCATATTACCTCAAGTAATCTATGGATTCAATGCAATCCTTATCAAAATTCCAATGGCATTTTTCACAGAAATAGAGCAAAAAACCTTAAAATTTGTATGGAACCACAAAAGACCCCTAGTAACCAAAGCAACACTGAGAAAAAAGAACAAAGCTAGAGGTATCATACTCCCCAATTTCAAACTATATAACAAAGCTACAGTAATAATAATAATAATAAAAAAACAGCATGGTACTGGCAGAAAAACAAACACAGTCCAATGGAACAGAATTGAGAGTCTAAAAATAAACCCACACATATATGAACAACTAATTTACAACAAAGTAGCCAAGAATATAGAGAAGAAAAGTCCCTTCAATAAATGGTGTTGGGAAAACTGGACAGCCACATCCAAAAGAATAAACTAGACCACTATCTTATACCATATACAAAAATTAACTCAAAATGGAGTAAAGACTTGAAAGATCTGAAACTATAAAATACATAGAAGAAATCATAGGCATTAAGCCTCTGGACATTGGTTTTAGTGATGATTTTGTGGATTTGACTCGAATAGCAAGGGAAACAAAACAAAAATAAACAAATGGGACCATATAAAAAATACAAAGCTTCTGCAGAGCAATGGGAATTATCAACAACAAAAAGGCAAGCAACTGAATAGGAGAAATATTTGCAATGATATATCTGATAAGAAGGTAATATCCAAAATATATAAAGAACTCATATAATTCAACAACCAAAATAAGAAAAACAACCAACCAACTAAAAACTACATATACAATGGAATACTACTCAGCCATAAAAAAGACAGTATTGCCATTCGTAATAACATAAATGGATCTTGAGGATATTATGCTAAGTGAAATAAGTCAGACATAAAAAGAATAAAAACTGTATTATTTCATTCACATGTGAAATATACAACAAAAAAGAAACAAACAAAACAAAACAAAAACTAGGAACAATAGAATAGTGGTTACCAGAGGGGAAGAGGTGAGGGGAGGTCAAATGGGTAAAAGGGGCTAAATATATGGTGATGGATGGAATCTAAACTTTTGGTGGTGGTGAGCACTCTAATATATATATATATATATATATATATATATATATATATATATATATATATATATATATCTGAATTATAATGTTGTACACCTGAAACTTAAATAGTATTAACCAATGTTATCTAAAACAAACAAACAAACAAAAAAACCCTAGCAGGCTTAAATAGTTAATGTTTGTAAAGTGCTAGCATACTATATGTGGCTCAAAATAAGTCTTAAACTATCATCACCTCCATCATCATCAATCAGTCTTATTATTTCTCTTGTTAATGTATTAATTCTACTACAACAAAAAACCCTAGAGCAGCACATACAAATCTCTTTTCAAAATTAAAAGAAAACAATTATTTACCTGTATAGCAAAAGTACCAACTCCACCTGAAGCACCCAAGATTAAAACACTGCAATGCAAAAGAAACTACAATTAATGAGAACATTAAGCCAATAAAACTGGGTAAATAAACAAGATGTTTTCACCATGCAACTGGCTCAAAGATAAACAATCCCAAAAGCAAATGAAGTCATTCAGCTTCCCAAGATTCTATTACACAAGGATTTTTATTTTAAATACACCAGTAAGCTATAAGTACTTCAAGTTAGACATTCTATATACTCTTTACCAAGAATACCAAATACCAAAACTATCAATAATTTGTCTTTTTTAAAGAAGCTCAGATGGCTCTTGGTAACATCTGACTTACAATTTTTCTAAGTTAAAATCACCATGGCTTTCTCTGTAAGAGAGAGAGCTCTGGGACCCTTTTTAGTGTGTTAGAGTAGACTCAGTTGCTCTCTAAGAAAAATCACATTCTTGACCACATTCCAGCCAAAGTGGAATAAACATCTTTTGTTCACACATGTCCCGTCAAGCTCATCGACTTTCATAAATGGAAATCTCAGCCTCAATTTGGCTTCCTGTTAAAGCAGATGAATCTGTCCTATCAGCACAAACATTCTTGTGCTCCAGTTGTTACCATGTTTGATTACTGTAGCCCACCTGCAACTCTAGACCAAGGGTGTACATCAGGAAGAGTATGGCTGAGTGAGAGTGGGAGGGGGAAGAGTGTGAACCCTCCGAAATTGTGAATAGACTAAAACAATGAACAAAATTTGGTATGCTTATGCATATGTATGTGCACTGGGGAGAGGAACCCAGACCTATTATCAATTTCCCTAAGAAATGAACCCAAAAAAGAACCTCACTATTCAAGAATCACTGCTTTACATACTCTTACTAAATTTTATTCTTGACTTAAGCCAGGGCACCAGTGCATTACCTTTTTTAGATTGCAGTTTCAGGTCCCCAGACAATTGTTTGTACTGAACTGCACTTTGATGTTATGCTACCAATATAGGCTGAGGGACATTATAGTGACAGTTTGACTTTTAATACTTTAGTTAAGGCAGTGGTTCTCAACCTTCTGGCCCTTTAAATACAGTTCCTCATGTTGTGACCCAACCATAAAATTATTTTCGTTGCTACTTCATAACTGTAATGTTGCTACTGTTATGAATCATAATGTAAATATCTGATATGCAGGATGGTCTTAGGCGACCCCTGTGAAAGGGTCGTTGAACCGCCAAAGGGGTCGCGACCCACAGGTTGAGAACTGCTGAGCTAAGGAGATACTGTTGAGGAAATTCTTCATGAGAATTCTCTTTAAGAGTGCCTATAGAAAACATTTTTCTGAAGATTAAGTGGTGGGAGTAGCTGTGCTTCTATTTGTCATGACATATTGTGTAACTGCTAGTTGTGGGTCCCTCTTTGCCTTGGCTGCTAGGAAGTACGGAGAATTTTGCCGCCCGTCTCTAGCAAGTACACCAGAACTTAGAACATGTATTCTGTCTACAATCTTAACCCTAGTTTCATTTTAGTTTTTTCTCTCTTACCCAAATTACAGAAAGCTGGTTGTCACGCATTAGATCAAGCATGTCAAACTCAAAGGCTAACATGGGCCAAATAAACAAGGTTTCAGTTTATGTGGGCCGCAAAAAAACAAAAGCTTCAATTTTCATAGAAATGTAGGTTTATTTCCATAGAGACATGCTGAATACAAAGGGCTGAAATAAATGAGCAGCCATTAACATAAAATAATAGAACATTTTAATAAAAATTAATATTTTCTCTTGAACATTAACTTACCAGACACTGAATAACTGGACAAATTAATAAGCGTAACGCAAATAAACCTATTTTTCTTGTTCTCCAAAAGTGAAATATTTCCTATTGCGCACACCAAACAAGTCAGTCCAAGACTAACGATGTGGCAATTGGCTGCTAAAATATTCGCTGCGAGTATTAGTGGAGAGAAATGGTGTGCCTGCGAGTAAGGCGCATAAGGGTAATCATTCACGATTACCCTCTTATTGTGGCCCATTCTTATAGAAAGGTAATTAGTCAAACTCTCATTTAAGTTCTTCACAATCTAATCTTCATCTGAATTCTGACCCCTCTATTTCCTGAACAGAACTCTCAACAACATGATTATAGTAATCAGTCATTAGTGAACATTGTAGTTCATTATTAATAATTATGTATAACAGGATATTTTAAAAATTAAGTTACAAAATTTTTATTAAAATGTTTCTAACATACCATTATATTGGCCGGGCCGTAAGTCTGACATGCTTGCTTTAGATCTTAAAAGTTACTAGTAAAGTTTCTGAGCCAGCTGTTCCCTTTAAAATTAATATCATTAAATGTAATTTTAAAAGTCTCCTTGTAAATTTATTTCTTCCAGAGTTACATTTAAATTCACTAAATTATAAATAGAAGAAACTTTAAAGATCAACTCTTCTAAAATCCCTCAATTTGCACATTTAATCGCTTTAGTACTTAAATGAAGGGAAAAAGCATTAAAACTGCCTCACTGATACATCCCAAGATTAATTCATTCACAATTACCCTCTTATTGTGGCCCATTCTTATAGAAAGGTAGTTGGTCAAACTCTCATTTAAGTTCTTCACAATCTAATCTTCATCTGGATTCTGACCCCTCTATTTCCTGAACAGAACTCTCAGCCACTCTGGGTCCCTCACTTCTTACCTCAAGTCCCATGCACATGAGCTCATTCCTCAGGCTCTCAAATGCCTTCACTATCTGCTAAGGTCTCCCCTTCCTCTGAAGGCTCAAGTCCCAGTTTTCCTGCACAATACCCCTGAGATAGCCCCAAACCTGATACCCATGCCACTGCATTTGGCATTTGTCACATTGTTCCTTTTCATTCATTCACTTGTTTCCCAAGCGATTCTGCAAGGTTTTGAGGACAGAGATCTCACATTATGCCCAAGCACTGGGCATACCACCCTAGATGCAGCAGACACAGTGGGGGTGGGGGTGGGGGTGGGGGTGGGGGTGGTTACTGAGCAAAAAAGAAAAAAGCGAGAAAAAATTCATGGACAACAGTGTGGTGATTGTAGGGTGGAGAGAGTGGAGGGAGGTGGAAGAGGGTATAGAGGGGATAAATGGTGATGGACAGAGACTTGACTTTGGGTGGTGAACACACAATACAGTGTACAGGGGAAAAAAATCTAAATTAGCATTATATCCTATAATTAAGGCAATAATTGCTATTGCCCAAATGAATAAATCACCTGGCTATTTGAAAAACTGCATTAAAGTTTATTCCAGTAAAGAAAAGGGCTTTAAATAATTTTTAATTCTCTCTCTGAGAATGCTGGATTTAAGAGGATGACAAATATAATGGTTGCTTAAGGATCCAACTGCCACACACGCCTCTGACCTCATTATTGTCAGTTTATCACTTCCCTATAATTCTTGATCCAAAGCAGTATCATTCCTCCAAATTAAAATGCAAAAACGTGTTTCTCAGCAGTGCTTGGCAGAAGAGGGAGAGCTGCAATAGCAGCTTCAGTTCTGGACATTGCCACTTGATGGCACCCTAGTGCAAAACAGGAAAGGAGCAAGTCCACTGAGGTCTACATACCATTAGCTTGTAAAGAAGCCCTGGGGACACATCATTCTCTGGTCCTGCAAACTCCATGTTCTGTGCAGGTTCAACCAGGGCCCGTACTTTGCTTCAAACAAAGAAAGTCCCACAAAGGGACAGCAGGCAAAATAAATTTTCAAGCCAGCACTAAGTCAGTTGATTCTCTACAGTGTGAAGTCCTGTGGCTAAACTAACTATTCTCGTTGTACTCTTCAAAGCACTCTCACTACAAAGAGAAAGCACTGCTGTGCTTACCCCCAGCTGCCCTTCACTATGTGCTGTACTTGGAATACTTTCTACCCAGTAGCTACAATGGTTATAATATATACTCAAACCTCATTAAGTAGAAGCCTGATATAGTAAAGAAAGGTGTGCTGTATTGCTTAGTTGTTTATACAGAGCAAGTGCCAGGAAATACTCTATTTGCAAAAAGCACTATAATTGAAAATTGCCAAGATTTTTTATCGCATTTCTCTCATACTTCCTAAGTCCACATAGAGAGCTTCTTTTGAAGTCAGTGGGAATTACACCGTGGCAAATTTATAAAATATGGGCAAAAGTATGAGTAATTATTTCACTGCTTATGTATTCTTAAACCCTAAAATCTAATTTTATGTCATTTCTGTCCAACTTCTGAATTCTAAATTTTTCTGACTATTTTTATTTAGCATTTTGGCACATATGTCTTCTACAATCACGTTTTTCAGTATTATATGAGGCAAGGGTATCAACACCCTAATTGCCTTACAAATAAAAAATATATGAAATATACTACAAAATAGCAAGAGATCCAGAAGTAGGGAATCATCTCTCAAACTTCTATATTCTGGATTAGCCCCAGAAATCTCTGAAAGCCAGGGCTGGGCACCTAGAAACCTGAGGTCTAGTCCCAACTCTCCCATTGACTATCTAGGCCTCAGATTCATCACCTGTGAAATGATGATCATGAAGGTATACTATAGGAGTCAAGGAAAAAGAAAGAATTGGCGTCTTCAATCTAATTTAAGCTTATGTTTAGTTTCTCTGCCTTTCTAACACAGAAGCAAATGACCTGCACAATTCCCCTCAGACCATACCCTTGTGGGAGGAAACAACCACATCATAAGAGCAGAGTGCCCTTTATTAAGTCCTAATGGCTCAGAAACAAAGATGATTTAAATATGGCTAAATCTTCCATCAGTAGAAACAACTGGTCTTTCAAAAATGAGGATGATGCTTTAGCTGGTTTGGCTCCGTGGAAAGAGCATCAGCCTGTGGACTGAAGGGTCCCGGGTTTGATTCTGGTCAAGGGCATGTACCTTGGTTGCAGGCTGGATCCCCAGCCCTGGTTGGGATGTATGCAAAGGCAACCAATCGATGTGTCTCTCTCACACTGACATTTCTCTCTCTCCCTCTCTCTCTCTCTCTCTCTCCTTACCAATCTCTCCAAAAATCAGTAGAAAAATATCTT